GACAGACGTGACACCTCACCTTAATCAACCAAGCTGATAACATAATTACCTAAGATACGACATTAAATCTCCCAAGCCCTCTGAGCATTCTTTGACGCCCTTACCTGATAAATCCACGATCCCCTAGAACAACGTGGCCAGTTTTTCCTTTACAACGCATGCAGCATGTCTCCCTTGATTGGCAAGCATGCCTCCTACGAGCAAAGTTGGTCTCTCTGCCCCTAACAAACCTTCATGTTATAGTGTTGAAGGTATGACATATTGGCATATCTTCGTCTCCTCTACTTGGCTCATTGTTCTTTTTAAACCTATGGCTTCATATGAATCCTACCCTTGAGGTCTGGAGATTGGTGGGAGTCACCTCGAACATACTTTTTAAGGTGACCTTGGATGAGCTTAATCTCCTTCTTCAACTGGTAACAGTCCTCTATGTGGTCACCTTTGACCTAGTAATATTTATACCATTTGGTGAGTTTAAGTCCCATAATGTCAAACTTAAGGGCTTGTGAAGGAAAAATGGCATGGATATGGAAAACTTCACGGCATATCTTCTCACAAGTGTTTACAAGTGTGAAGTTCTTCGTTAGTCTCCCTCTACACTTAAAAGTCACTATGTCCTTGACAAGCGAGGTGTAATGGCCTCTACGTTGTTACTACGACGAGTCATGATTATCAGACACCCGCTCCTTATAATCTATAACATTTTCTCAATGTTTCTCTCTTATTCCTTATTGTAACATTTGGCGCGTTTCTCTTCTAAAAAATATTGACATTACTATTTTTTAGAAAATAATTTAATAAAAATGCAGTAATGTTTAAAAATATTATTGTATTTTTAATGAAAGTCTAAAAACATTGAACAACACTCATTTTAAAATAAGAGGAAATTATTTTGATCTTTAGATCTAACTATCACTTTTTATTTCAAAACTAATCCAAACTCAATCATAAACACCTTACTAACTTTGTCCTAATAATTTTTATTTTTTAATAAAATATATTTAAATAAATTTATTCTCAAAAACACACCAAAATTAGAAAAAAAAACTCCTAACTCAAATAAATATTACCCCCCAAAAAATTCAGATATCCAGAATATAATCCCTGTGAAAACTGAAATGTATAAATTGAACCTTTTAAGAAAACATCCACAACAAGTTCATGTAAAATCTGACACAACCTTGCCGAAATTTGCATCACCAACAAAAACGACAACTTACCACTCCTACTTACGTTGTGTCACAAAACTTTCCTCTCACACACTCTTTCCCATGTCATGTCGTTTATTTTCTCTAAACTCCTAAATTTCACTTCCTTCCATAAATGCACAACCAGACACGTGCACCACATGTTCTTCATCACAAATCTCATTGGAGCAAAATAACTAAGCACGTGAACTTTGACTTATTCAAACATCACTCATAAAAATAAAATGCAAACACGAGTGACACGATGCAACCACACAACAAACAGGACCACATAAATTTTTCATAATTATTCACTTTTGCACCGCAGTACTCCTAAGTATTTTATTTTGCATAATATGACTTGTATTTCGGTTTTACTTTATTTGTCAATTAAAATCATTTTTTAATGTTACATATTTAAATTCACGCCTCTACATCTAATGTATTTATACAACTATCAACTGAATAGACTTAATATAATTCACGCCTTATTTTTACACAACTATTAACTGAACAGATTTAACATGATATTTTTTAATGTTTAACTTACTTTTTCGGTTTCGATACCTCAAACTCTTTATAGAAAGAGGAAAAACAACAAAGGGAGTGCCTACAATTTAAGTGTTTGTGCCTACTTTTATGTTTCTTCTTTTGCATAACCAAATTGTACTTTAGAATCTATTTACAGTTAGTGAAGTTGATTAGATTGAGGCCAAGAATCTAGTATGCAAAAGTTTGTCAGTCCCTTCTATTTTTTTTTCCATTTTCAAACAAACAAATGAAGCACAAACATTTCCCTTGTCCAAGCAAAAAGAGGTAAATTTAAAAGTGAAAATTATATAGCACTAGTTCAATCTATAATTAATGATTCAGATTCATTACATTTCACCTTTGATTTGAGATCAGACGATCATGATCACCAATTGTGTTGGACACAGATACACATATTTGGGTTCCATACATTAAATGTGAGACACAATTAGTAATTTTGATCATCTGATCACAAATCAAGTATAATGTGAGTCGACTAAACTTAAATCAAGGACTAAGATTAATTAGAATTACATGATTAAACTAAGAATCTTTTCTTTTCTAATTGGATGAAACTCTTTCTTTAGAGTAACTTGTACATTTTATAAGAAATTTGCATTTCTAGTAGAAAATGATAAAAGATATTGTTATTACACAGGTCAGAAATTTCCCAAGAGCACAATATTCCTCTAAAAATAGAGAGCATGTTGTTATCCCTAAAAATGAAACAAATGACAAAAGTAAACACTTAACTAATATTTTGCTGTTATGCACATAACTTGGTAGAATACAAGAAAAAGAACATGATGAAGAACAAAAAATGAACCTCTATGAATCAAAATAGAATGCTTTAGATTGGTTAAGACTAAACAAAACAATGAACCTTGCAAGGAATAATACTTATGATGATGATGATAAATAAAATGTGTATAATACTATAGACAAAAACATAAATTTGCTAAGCTATTGCCTATTATTCTCTACTTCTCTAGATCACACTGCATTTTGTTTTTAGATCCTCTTTTGTGTGGCAAAATTTCTGAGAAAAAATGCAGATTTTTTGTTCTTCTCTATGTATCATGATGAGTATGAACTATGGCTATAAGGAGTTTGATTCTTTGGAAAATGCGGCGATTAACTTCTCCTTTGTAAGCTGCTCGGATTTTTGGGACTTGATTATGAATGTGTGGAAGACAGTGTCGTTTGTAGCGTTGAGTTTGGACTCAAGGATAGTGATTTCGGTGTCTTTGAATGCTTGGATGAGTTTTGAAATAGGGTGAACATCAGTAGGGAAACTGACCTTTACGATGACGCCTTCTTGTGTAGCTTGAATGTTGATTTCGGGAGTTTTGCTTTGATGAGTTTCCGGTCTAGAGTTTGTTGGTAATCCCGATGATGATCCGTCTCTAGAAGTGGTTGCAAGTTGTTCTCTTTCGGATTCCATTGTCTTGAGTTTTGCTTGAAGCTCGTTGATGTACGCGATAGCATCTCCTAACAAAGATGCTTTGTCCATCTTGGAGATATTCGGCACAACAGCTCGTAAGGCGTAAAAACGCTGGTTTAGCTTCTCGCGTCTTTGTCTCTCTGCCTCCACATGATTAAGAGGTTCTACTCTTCCATTAGCTGGCTTTCTACCTCGCTTCCTCGGCCTCCTATCATCGGAGGGACTCGGTGCATCCTCCCTGCAAGAGGCCTCAACGTCAGAAATCTCTGATTCACCGACTATCGATCTCACAGAAGGCCTTGATGTGGCTCCGGAGAAATCAATTTGCATTTGCGCCTTCCGTTGCTGTTGCTGTTGATAGTTGTTTAGCACGAAATCATGCCTCCCACCGCCATTGGCTAGCTCGGGCGCATTGCTCGTCGAAGGCCTAGGAGCAAAAACATCTGCAGGCACATGCTGCCTCACAACTTGACTAGGTCTCCAACCCGACAAACCATGAATGCCGTTCGGAAAACTAATTCCATTTCCATTCGGACGGACTCCCCACGATGGCCTCTCATCCATTTTCCTAACAGCAAGTTTCTCCCGAAAATGTGTCACTGAGTTCAAATCCTGCCCGAAAATCTTCGGAACTCCAATCACCTCTACTCTACTATGATTATTATTATTATTCGGACGAAGATGAAGATTACCATTACTAATATCGTTCTTCTTAATACTCTCACCAACTTTCAAACACGAAAACGGGGCATTCTCATTCTCATTCCCATTCTCATCTCTTTTTTCATCCAACGATGAAATCGACTGAACCCTAGAAAGCGATGATTGTGTCGAAAACACTGATTTAACCTTTTGCAACAACTCAAAGCTTTCATCTACCATTCTAACAGAACCCAATTCAACAACACCTAAATCAGTAGGAACTAAAACAATAGTTTGAAATCCAACCGATTTAGCCAAGAAAGACCTAACACAATAATCAGAGCTACTAGATTTCAATGCATCACACAACCACAAATGCTTCCCAGATGCAAAACACTTACCAGGTCCACCATCTCCATTAGGAAAAGAGAAATACATTGAAGCAAGAAAGAACATCTCGGTATCGGTAACTCGGTCCAATCCAAAGGCATAATTGTCTTCATCAGAACCACCAAATGTTGTATGAAGCTTCTGCAACACCCTTTTCCTCAATCTTTGTTGCTTTTCATCCTCAATGGAATTCACACTCACAACACTTTTCATTCCTAAATCTCTTTCTTCTTCTTCTTCCTTTGGTTCCCTACAACACCCATCTCCCCAACCTAAAACCCAATCACCATATTTTGACTGAGAAATTTGCCAAAAAATGGCATAATTCCAACTGAAATTCGAAACGTTGGATCTCTCAACTAGATCAGAAAGCTTGTTTTGAAGATTCTCACCACTTCCAATAGCCATCAAAAGATTCTCATTAGAAACTGATTTTGTAACCAAGTAATCAAATGCTTTGACACCCAAAACTTCAACCACCATAGCTTTTTCATCTTCATTCCATAACCCATTTCCTCCTAAACCCACTTCAATCTTCATCTTCTAAACAAAACCCAGAAACCAAAATCCAAAAAAAAAAAAATCTCAGCTTTCCACAAAAAAATCAACCAAACCCACAACTTAAAATTTAAGCACTTCCCAACAATACAACCAATCTCAGATCTAAATAAAACCAATTACAGATTCTGAAAATTCCCTCCAAGAAAACCATAAATTATGGAACCAGAAATAAGATTCATGAAAGACCAAAGAGGAAACAAGACACCGTTATTGACGCAACAACAATGGCAAAAGAAACATCATAATTAACTGAGAGTTGAAACATGTTTCAAAACAAAGAAAAAAGGTTTATTGTTTTTTTTATTTTTATGAATGAAATGAAGGTGTGAGAATGAAAAAAAGCTGAAACAATTTTGAGATGTTAGAGAGAGAAAGAACAACGGCGTTTGGCTTTCTGACTCTGAAGTTGTAAATTGTAACTGCTGCAAAAGTGTAAACAAACGAACTAAGGTTTTTTTTTTCGTGTAAACTAAGGTTAAATGTTTTTTTTTTTGTGTGTGTTAACTAACCTAGGGTTAAAAGTTAACCATGGTTAACTTGTTGCAAGATGAGAGGTAGTCACATAGTGCCATCATGCTTTTGTTTGGTTGTTTAATTTGTTTGTTCCTATGATAATCTATCTACCAGTCTTCTACTATAAACCCTACAAAACACATCTAAGGATATGTTTGGATGCACTTCAGAAGAGGTAAAAGCACGGTGAAAAAACCGCGTTGAAGTAGAAGCTGCCTTTGAGTGCTTTTGGAAATCACGGTGGAAGACTAGCCAGACGTGCGTTTGAGTCTGGAAAAGTGGAACCAAACACTATAAAATTATTCTACTACAAGTTAACTATTAAGGGGTGTTTGTATACATAGATTTCAAATTTATTCTTAGGAATTTATTTTTTTTATTTTCGGATTTATTTCAAATATTTATAAATTATATCTGAGAACTATTTATTTTTGAGAATATAATTTATATTTGATTTTTTCATTTTTCATTTTTATATAAATGAATGAGATTTTTATATTTTTATAAAAATAAAACGTAATTATCAATAACTTTCCATTTTTATTAATTTAAATTTTTTATTTTTTATTTTAAAATTTAAAAATAAATATATCTCATAAATATTCTTAGGCGTTTAAATCATTTATCAAATATATAAATAAGAAGAAAAAAAACTCCTGATAATAATAAAGAATATAATTGAAAAAATAATATTCCTTACGTTTTTTTTAATTGTCATTTTTTAACTTTTTTATATATTTTTAAACAATAACTTTTCTTTTATTTATAATTCTTAATTTTTTTATTATTTTAACTTATTTTTTTTCTCTCTCTATAATTAATAATTAAGGATAATTTTAACAAAATTATTATTAATACTACTTTAAAATTTGAAAATAACAATTAAAAAAATTATATATAATTTTTACAAAAATAATATTTAAAAGAAATGAATAAAATAATTATTATTATTATTATATTAAAAAGTAAAAATAACATTTATTTTAAAATGAAATTTATTTGTTAGAACCATATTTATTTTAAAATGGAGGTAGTATTGTATTTTACTATTGAAATATGCTACACATGTGGAGTTTGGGGATTTTAAGAAATAAATTTTGAAGCTTATAAAAGTAATTCTTATCCTTTCCATGGATTTTTAATCATTAAAAATGATACTATAATGATATAATAAAATTAAATAATAAGTTAATTCAACATTGTATAATAAAAGCAATCCTTTCCCTTGATATAAATTTTTTACAATAATTGACAAAAAAATTACAATAATTGACAAAAACAATTACAAAAATTGACAAGAAATTATTTTAATATAAAAATTTATATATTTTTAAAAGATTCTTTAAAAAATAGTTTTGTATTAGTTTAAAATTATACAAAATAGATTTTGTATTTTTCTTTCTTTTGCTAAAAATTATTATTTCTTCAAATACTAATTAAAGTAGTTTTTTTTTATTTTTCAACATGAAAATAAATTTTTAAATTCTTTAAAAATATATCAACAAATTCTAATTTAACTGAAAAATTTAATATTATTAAATTCGACGTTATCTCTAAAGATTAAATTCTAGATATTAGTTCATCTACATATAAAAAAAAATTATTAAAATGATTAAATTCAACCTCTCTCACATTATTAAATGAAAATTTTTAGAGGAGCGTGTGTAGATAAACAAAATAATATACATGAAGAAAACACCAAAACAAAACAGTGTGCTATTTTTATTTACAGGTGGATAAATATTTTATTTTAGACTGATAAGGACAAACCAACCTTTAAGTTTAAGAAATGAATAATAAAAACATTTATGGCACTCGTGTTGAATAGTGGAATCAACAATAGCTCACATGTGAGTCATAGTTATTAGTATTAACCTTGATATTTTGTGTGCGCATGTTAAAGATAGAGTCGTTTGGTTATCTCTTACCACAAATAGTTCATTGAGATTATCCCATTTTAGTAAATGATATTTGGTAGTTTTTAAGAAAAATTAAGTTGTAGATATTTCAGTATAATTTAAAAAAAATATATGTGAAAATTTTATTATTAAAAAAATAATATGAAAAATATCATTTGTTTAAATAATAATAATAATATATTAAAATTAAAAAAAAGTTCAAAAAGAAATAATATATGTGCAACAACAATACTATCACATTTTAAAAGTGTTTATAGTTCATAGACTCAAAGTAAGATTAGATTTTAAAAGAGTGCAAGACTATATAAAATTAGATTTTTACGTCTCTTTTATAAATAAATTTAAAAAAATTGAATGTGACCTATTAAAAAAATAAGATTAAATAAGTTTTTGGTCTTCTAAATATCTTAAATTTTGTTTTTAATTCTTTTAAATTTTTCTTTCAAAATATGATTTTCTTGAAAAATTAGATTTTAACTTTTGATCCTTCCTGACAAAATCGTAGCTAAAATAGTCTCTAATTTCGTCGTTAAATAAAAATTGTCGCTAAAACTGTCGTTAAAACTGTCACTAAGTTGTAAAAACCGTCGTTAAATAACAGAAGAGACCAATAGTTAAAATTTAATTTTTTTTAGGAGGATCATTCTCTTAAGAAGAATTTTAGAGGGACTAAAAACGAAATTTGAGATATTTAGAGAGACCAAAAACTTATTTAACCCTAAAAAATATGATATTGTACGAACAAAAGAAAAAAACCTGCATTTTTAAGAATTACTAGAATTTTAGTGCAGTCAAATGGTCGACGCATTCATGCATTTTGAGTATTATTGATCGTTAGATTTTATTCAGAAGGTTCAAATTAAAATATATTTTACTTTTTGTTCCGTTCAAGAATTAGAATTAGATGTAGTTTGTAAACTGACGAAATTGAATTGGTTGTGTCGATCTCTATTACGGCGACGCGGGGTGGACCTGCATGGTTAGCACTCCCGTGGAGTGGACCTAAAAGGCTAGAACTCTATTGTTCAAGTATGTTCAAAATTTAAGATGAGTGTAGTGAAAAGTGGAGATCAGAGAATGTACATTGTTTTCCGTGTGAACAAACTTATATACCTTGAGCCTAGTGGAGTGAATTTGAGATGAGTTAGGGCTTAGTTATTTGGGACTCTGGCCGCGGCCCTGAATAGTTTCCCCCAAGGCTTTGTCGGGAGCTGAGTGAGCCGGAGAAGCCTTTTGTGATTTTGGTTGGCCTCTAGGGTGCTACCCAGTGTGAGCTAAAACTGAAACGCTTGGAGTTATGTGATGACGCGGAAAGTTAGGGCATGGCGCAACTTAGGGTGAAGTTGAGTGCACTCGAATGTGCACATATTTCCAAGGAAGACTTCAACCGTTGATTTCATAATTCCCTTTCCTAGATGATTTGGGTCGTTCAACTGTCTTCACCTATAAACAGGAGGAGTTGAGCATTTTGGAAACTTTTCGCGATCTTTGGTATTCAAGTTTTTTCGTATTCATTGTCTTAGTAACTCCTTCTCTTTTATTTCCTAAGAGTACTAATCAAGACGATTGTAGTTCCTTGATCAAAGTCTCTACTTTCTTCATTCACTTTGCTCCATCAATTTCACCTACCCAAGTACCACCCTACACTTAAGCTTTTTCTTCAGCATTTCATGTTTTCTAGTCAAGATGAGTAATAATATTGTTAAGTTAATGAGCGATTATAAGAGTGACACTTCTTCTACTTTAGGAATTAGGGCATCCCCTAATTCCCATCTTCCACCCTCATGATCATATATGTCAAGAAGTGATATCCTTATATGATGATTCTTACTCATAAAGGGTATTTGGGGATTCCCTGGAGGAAGGAGCTTCTTCATACGACTCATTAGAAGCCCTTTTATCAAATTTCAATGGAGACCTGAATCATAGTGAGGTCCATATGCCATGTCTCGTCTTGACAGGGGAGGAAATACAAACTATTCAGCGGATGTGGGAACGTGCTGGAGATTTCATTCAACTTTCTATAAGAACTATTGGTAGCGAACCTAGCGATGCTGAAGTGAAGAACCACTTGGATCTATGGGGTAGGTCAGATGTAATGTTATGGATCATGCCCGAGGAACATTCCAAAATTGGCCACCTGGCTCAAAAGGGTGTGATGTTAGTGAGTTGCATGATTGAAGCGACAATAGAGGTTGTTGGCATTATGGCCGGTGACCCCCATGGTTGGTTGGCTCTTCAAGTGGGTATGAAGAAAAGGATATGTAATTCCTTTGACGAATGTGATTCCACTCTATGAGTGCATGCTCACAAGGATATGATTGTGGTTGCCTTTCTCCGACTTCAAAGTGGACATCCTAAAGTATGTAAGAACAAGATTTGAATATGTGTTTAATCTCCGAGTTTTGCTGATAACAAACATATATTTTATGAAGAACAATTTTAGTTATAATGGTTTCATTGAGTGTGCAGATATATTATTAGAATTCTGGATAGTCTTAATCAAGATATCATTAGAATCACTTTATCGCTCAGAAGAAGAACCATTATATTTTGTTTCTAATGTAACATCAGTAGTTCTGTGGAATGCTGAATGTTCGACAAGAAAAGAATCTCAATGAGTTTCCAAGAAGAAAGAGTTTATGTTAAGTTGTTGCTTCAAAATCAGAAATCAAGACTGCACAAGAGACAAGCTTCCAATGCAGAAGATCAGAAGTTAAGATCCATTCATTAGAAGAGCTGATGCTTGGATTCTAAAGACAAAGTCAAGATTTTGAACACATAAGGAGAAAGATTATACTCCAAAATCAAAAGTCAAGATTTGTTCATCAGAAAAGTTGCTGCTCAGATTTCTGAAGACAAAGTCAAGATTCTGAAGATTCTGAGTTCATGGAATATGCACCTTCATTCAACATCAAAAGTATTCCATCAGAAGAAAGGATGCAAAGAAAGAAAGATCTTGTGGACTTATATCTAATCAACATTTCAAAGTCCATCAGAAGATAAGATCAAAGGATGGTATCTTCTCAATCCTATCTACTCAACAGAAGTAATATTCGTAAGAAGATAA